TTATTATTATTATTATCATTATTATTATTATTATTGTTGTTGCTGTTGTTGTTGTTGTTAACGCCTTTTAACTCTGTTACAGTTTCATTTGAAAATCGTATTAGACCATGGTCAACATTGTGCTGTGTGAACCATGTTCCAAATGTTATTTTATTTTATGGAAACATTCAACTGGACAAGTTATTAATTTTAACTCATTAAATATATAATAAGTCATTCTTCTAAATAACCAATAAATAGAAAGAGTTTTATACTCATGCTAAGAAGTATGTAATAACTACTGGAAAATAAATTTTGAGAGAAAAATAATAAAAAGAGAGATAGGTTTAAGTTAATTAAAAATGTATTCAAACTCTTTGTTAATTTCTTTTTTATTAAATTGAGATGATTGAAGGAATAAAATCTTAAGGAACATTATCCCTTTATATTTCAGCTTTAGGTCAGATCAACACCCAATTATTGCTAAATGAAGAAGAATTTTTTCTTTACAAAATAAATAAAGAAAGAAAAGAAAAAGCATAGTGCAAGGTTTATAATGCTTTTTTTTTTTTTTTTTTTTTTTTTAAATTTATTTTATATATTTAATAATAAAATTATCAACTTCAATAAATCAATAATCAATTATCAACTTTTTTTTTTTGAATGATACAATTTAAATAGCTTCATTAATTTTTGAGGAATGACCTTAAGCCCGAGGGGATTTTTGAACACCCGATTCATCTTAAGAGATGAGAGTGCATGATCACTCACGACAATTAAGCTGGTGCCTTACAAGCTAACGTTTTTTTGTCAAGTAGCATAAATATTGTGCTTGTTTAGTAAGCTAGACCAATTGTTATGCCGTGGAATTGTGTCCACCCTTGGACACGGTTCTAAATTCATAATTACTGAACTCTATGTTCATAATTATAAACTTTATGTTCATAATTTTTGTACTTCATATTCACAATTATTGAACTCTATATTCACAATTACAGAATTCTATGTTCGTAATTACTGAACTCTATGTTCATAATTATAAAATTTTATGTTCATAATTTTTGAACTTCATATTCACAATTATTGAACTCTATATTCACAATTACAGAACTCTATGTTCATAATTATAGAATTCTATGTTCATAATATTTGAATTCTATATTCACAATTGTGACAGTTTTAAAACCGTGTGCACCTTACAAGGTGGACATGATTCCACAGCATAATTTGCCAAGGTAGACACAGTGGGCTTTTACGCATTTCAAGCCTGGTTAGAGAGGGCTAGGCCCATTCACCATAACATGGAGCCCATTTTTAATTGGGCTATTGTACATTTTATTTGAATCGGGGAAGGCAGTTCGGTCAATCACTATGGTATGGACCATGGTCCACACAAGTTGTGTGGATCATATTTTGTCTACTGTAAAATAATGTACATTCAGTACGAAAATAGTGTACATTGTATTCAGGGGATGTACATTATTTTTATTCTGAGTATACATTACATTGTATAATGTACATTCAGTACAAAAATAATGTATATTTAATATATTACAAATGTATTTTTTGTTATGATCCACATAATATTGTTTGGACCATGGTCTACACAATAATTTGCTCAGTTCGGTTGGGCATGGATGTTCTTTGAGCTCATAATTGTTAACGAGAATTTACATATACACTCAATAGCCTATGATAAGGCAAATTACGGTCCACACAGCTATGTGGGTCACGGTCCAAAAGATTGTCGTGGATATTATGAGTAAAAATAATGTACATTATGTGTTAGAATAATGTATATTACGTGTTAGAATAATGAAACATCTAGGTAATATAAGGTACATTATGTTTTAAAATAATGTACATTATACTTTAGAATAATGTACATTATGTGTTTTAAAATAATGTATGTTGCAGTTGGATGCGCAAAAAAAATAAAATTTAGTAAAATGATGTCGTTTTTGGACTGTAGTCCACACAGCTACCACGGTCCACACAATAACTATTGCTATGATAATGGCTCGCACCAGCCAACATTGGCAAATTGTACTCTGGACTATGGTCTCTAAAACGATGTCGTTTCTTTTAATGAAAAGAAACGGCACATGTTCCACGTAATTAGTTCCGTTTGTATAACATATTCAATTTCATTTTATATACATTGTAGTTCTATTTCAGCACAACTAAAGTTTCATTTTGTTTCAACTACAGTTTCATTCGACATTATACATACAATAGTCTTATTACAGTGAGACATGTTGGACAATATACACTCAAATATGTGAAACTGTTTTTCAATTTAATTTTATATACACTGTAGTTTCATTACAACACAACTAAAGTATCATTTTGATATAATTACAGTTTCATTTGACAATATACACTCAATATGTGAGAATGTTATTCATTTTCTTTTTATACATACTGTAATGTCATTTCAGCAAAACTAAAGTATCATTTTGATTCAACTACAGTTCTATTTGACAATATAAACTCAATATGGTGAGACATGTTATTCAGTTTCATTTTATACATACTGTAGTTTCATTTCAAAACAGCGTAACTAAAGTATCATTTCAATTCAATTACAGTTTCATTTGATAATATAAACACAATATACAAGACAAGTTATTCGGTTTCATTTTAGATATACTGTAGTTTCATTTTGTTATGAATACAAAAAAAAAAAATAAAAAAATACGGGATTTGTTAAAATTTAACGGCGGTCGTTTCTTTGCTTAAAGAAATGACGTCGTTTTTGGATCATGGTCCACGGTATAACAACCGGTCAACATTGTGCAGGGCTGCACCATGCACAATCAACACGAGCTGCACACGATCGTTGGGGGGTGTTTGGTAAATGGCTGTTAGCTGATTGGTTTAGCTGGTATTTGATAGCTGATTGTGTTAGTTGATTTGACCAATTGATTGTATTGGCTGGTTATAAAAAAAGTGTTTCTTAAATTAGTTGTTTACTATTAATTGATTGAATGTAAAATGACATTTAAGGGTATGAGTATATTACTATTATTATTTTTTATTAAATGAATTTATTACTATTAATAGTTTTTTGAAAACAAACCAAACTGGTTGATTATATTAAAGATAAACTGCAATAGTGTCAGGTGGGGTAGAATCCCAAGCACTCCTCGCCCCTTCAACCATGACAATGCTTTAACGCTTCTACCATAAGGGATGCTGGGCAATTCGGCAGTTGAGAACTGAAGGCTGCCATGAACCTGCCGTCGCTGGAGAGCAGAACTGCACCGGCCGTGACTTTTATGGTAGCTGCATGGTACCCCGCATCGAAGAAAACCCTGGGGACTGTAGGTGCGTTCTGCCCGGTGGTGGCTGAACTGGGCAGACTGGGGGCTGAACTGACGTGTGCGTGTGTCTGGCTCCATGCGTGGGCGGTGGCTTTGGCGTCACACACCACCTTCCTTGGCATCGACAGTGCATGCTCCTACACAGCAGAGTTCCGTGCTTTCCATATGTGATATAGCATTGCTGCTGCCACAATAAGTTGGTTAGGAGGCAGCAAATTCATCACCAAAGTAAACCATGTTTCAAAATTGTCAGCCGAGATATCCATGACGGGTAAAAGTGATTCACGCCAAACAGATTGAGAGAAATCACACAAAAATAGTGCATGCATGGAATGTTCATGATGTAGAGCACACATAGAACATGTAGGTTCAACATCTACTTTCTTTATAATCAAGTTCGTAGTAGTGGGAAGAACTCCACTTAATGCCTTCCACAAGAAAACCTTCCACTTGGGAGGTATTTTCATCTTCTACATCGGTAGCCAATTGTTGAATATTCCGGGGGGATGTACATAGTTTCCCACAATGAGCCTATAGCCAGTTTTGACCGTATAACACCCCTTAGGGTCCCCTTGCCAATACCATGAGTCAGAATGATTCGGACTAATAGGGATCTTTATAATACGAGCCACATAACTAGGTATAAAGATATCTTGAAGAATAATAAGATCCCAAGAATTAGTAAGTGGATCAATCAGGCCATTAACCTTAGAGCCTATCAATTCTGGAGGCATAATAGTCTGAATCCTGGGATCTTGATCATCGGGCACCCACGGATGCTCCCAAATTAGTGTGCTCTCCCCGTCACCAATTCTCCGCCTTATACCACTGCATATTAAGCCATGAGCAGCCAAAATACTACGCCAACAAAAACTTGGATTATTACCCAAAGTTGCATCAACAAAAGAACTTTTAGGATAGTACCTCCCCGAGTTACTCAGGGCTCACGGCGGCTCACCGGCGACATAGCACACTCTGTTGTTGCCTGTTCCACCTCCACAACACTACCGGTTCACCACTACGAGGTTGACCATCCACCGGTAGTAGCCAGTGTTCGCCGACTGCTCTTAGCCCTCGCCTTGTTCCCGCTTTAAGTTCTGCTGAATAAGGGTATTCCTCCACTGGTATTGTAGACTCCCGTGCTTTCTTACAAAACTTGTACAAATGTCTAAGAAATCCACAAAGAAAGCAGAAATTGTGTAGTCGTTCGTATTTAAAGGTCGCCCAACAAATTGGTGAAAATTGAATACATGCGGCAAGTGCTCGCTGCTGCATGGCAACCGGTTTCTAGTGTTCAGGTCTCGGAAATTCAGCCTAAATTGTTCTTGTTCGTCTTCTACTACCGAACTGACATGGAACAAGTGCTTAATGAAGGACCATGGTCTTTTGAAAACGCAACATTGGTTTGTAGGCAGTTGGTTGATGGTGTGTTGCCTGGGGATGTTGTTCTGCATACGGTGGACCTATGGATTCAGGTTCATGACCTACCAATGGGTTATAGCTCAGACAAAATACTCGAGCAGATTAAGAATCATCTTGGTACTTATTATTATTACTATTGAAAATTTATTATTATTAAATGAATAAACCCACAACTCCTTTACTAAATGAATAAACCCACAACTCGTTCTCCTTCTCCTTATCATTATTATTATTAAAATGACAAAACCACCCACCTGTATTATGAACTTAAATGTCAAACCCACACCCCAAATCAAATCAAATCACTAAACCCTCTGCCCTAATTCAGCGAAGAAATAGCGAGAAGCAGTGAAGAAAAAAATGAGCGAGAATCAAAGGCAAGAAGCAATGGGAAAGAAGAAGGGCGAGAATCAATGACAGCAAGAATGAAGATGATCGATTTGGGTTCATTTCATTCAATGTTTTTTTTTTTTGTTTTTGTTTTTGTTTTTTTTTTTTGTTTTTGTTTTTTGTTGTTGTTTTTGTTTTTACTTTTAATTTGTGAATAAAAATATAGTTTGTGTATTTGTTGTGTGTTCTGAACTTTGAGGATGAAGATCGGACTTTCGTGATAATTTGATAGTTTTTTCCATTTATTGTTTACTTTTAATTTGTGAGTTTAGATGTGTATTCTTGAGTGTTGTTCATGGCTGACAGTGAGAGGGGGAGAAGGGGAGAAAAGAAGAAGATTAATGGTAAATATGTCGTTTAGAAATTAAACGCAACTAGCCATCCAAAAATGTTGTCTCGCCCAGCATTTCAAAAATCAACTTATTGGGATGAATGAGCTGAAGAAAAAAGCTATTAACCAAACACTCACTTCAGCTGATTGGCTAAGTCAAAAAGTTAAAAATGGTCAAATCAGCTAAAATTTGGCTGATCAGCCAATAACCAAACACCCCCATTGTGAATGCTCGTTTTGTTTGTTTTTTTCTGTATAATATATTATAAATTAAGCCCTTAATTATGTGGTGCAAGTTGACAAGACTTATTAACTAGAAGTTGTTAGTCAATCAGGCTATGTGCCTAATATAAAACCTATAATGATGATATATATATATATATATATATATATATATATATATATATATATATATATATATATATATAATTAGGTTCTGGTGCGGTTGGTGCGCCCAGGTGCGGTTGTGCGGTTAAATATGAGTCGTTGATCTTGCTTAAATCAACATCCAAGATTACCAAAATTAAAAAAAAAAAAACACGGTGGCAATTTGGTAATTTTTGAATCTAGGTCAAATATAAGATGTGTGGGTTTGTGCTTAAGGTACGTGGGTTTTGTGCTTAAGGTGCGTGGATTTTGTGCTTAAGGTCCGTGGGTTTTGTACTTAATGTGAGTAGTTGTTGAAACTTAAGGTGCGTGGGTTTTGTACTTAATGTGAGTAGTTGTTGAAACTTAAGGTACGTGGGTTTTGTGCTTAAGGTGCGTGAATTTTCTGCTTAAGGTGCGTGGGTTATGTACTTAAGGTGCGTGAGTTCTGAACTTAATATGAGTAGTTGTTGAAACTTAAGGTGCGTGATATTTTTTTTCTTAAGGTGCGTTGTTTTCCTTCTTAAAGTGCGTGATTTGTATGCTTAAGGTGTGTCAGTTGTGTGAAACTTAAGGTGAGCTATTTTAAAACCTTAGGTGCGTGGTTTGTGTTCTTAAGGTGCTTTGTTGTGTGCTTAAGGTGTGTGGTTTGTGTGCTTAAGGTGAGTGATTTGTGTTCTTAAGGTGCTTTGTTTGTGTGCTTAAGGTGCGTGGGTTGCATGTGTACTTAAGGTGCGTCATGTTAATGCTTGAGGTGCGACAACCGCACGGGAAGTATCACCCGCACCTGAACCATTCCCTATATATATATATATAGCACATATAGTTTACGGTACTTAGGCCTGTGCACAACCCGACCCACCTGTTCAAACCGACCGACCCGACGACCGAGAGAGACCAACCCGGAATGACCCGAACCCGACTCTCATTACCCGATCCGCCATGCAATACGACGTCGGTTTAGAAGGTTCGGGTGGGGTATACAATTTTGCCAACCGACCCGTCCGAATACCCGAACTATCCTAGGGTTCCCTAAGGCTTTGTATTAAACGACGTCGTTCCATCAATGTATATATACATGCCTTCCAACACTTGGTCTTCATTATCTCATCTGCGCAGCTGACCTAGGGTTTGAGATCTGAGATCGCATCTCTCATTCTCTCGACTCTCAACTCTCTCAGACTCTCAGAGTCTCACTCTCTCAGAGTCTCAGACTCTCAGTTTCTCAGAGTCTCAGTTCTCTCAAGACTCATCAGTCATCTCTGATTCTGTAAATCCGTAAGGTAAATCTCTAATCTCTTAATCTCTAATATCTTAGTCTCTATTTCTCTAATCTCTAATCTCTTACAGTCTTACTCTCTAATCTGTAATCTCTAAATCTCTAATCTCTTAATCTCTATTGTCTAATCTCAGTTATTCTCAGGGTTCTCAGAATCGAAGCGTTGCAATCTCTAATCTCTAATCTCTAATCTCTTACTCTCTGTCTCTGAGAGTCTAAGTGGTGGAAGCTGTGGTGAACTGGTGATTAGAAGCCCTTGTTCTCCGGGGATTATTTGGGAGAAATCAAGTAAATCGTAAACCCTAGTTTATATTAAGAAAATGTTTGTGACTTTGTGTTATATTATATTATTATGATGATATGTGGTGAATATTTTGAGAAAGCAGTGTGAAATCGAAAACCCTAGTTTTATATATCTTCATTTATGTGAGATACTGAGATGTATTGTGTTCTGTCTTTTCTACAATGAGTCTGTGATGAATATTTGGTGATATATTCATATATTATGCTATTTGTTGGTAGAAGCCTTTTACAAACTGATTTCTAAGTGTTGATTTTGTGAAATCTGAATTTTATTCCATGCAAATTTGTAATCTACCAATCCGACTTAAAGGCTAAAATGTGAAATCTCCAGTGTGGGAATTTCCATTTATTGGTGGAAGCCCTTAACTCAAATCCAGATAATGATGATCTGGACTGAGTTCCTGAATCTGGATTTGTTTGTATAATTGTATATGTTATTATGTCTATCAGTTTATGGATGTATGACCCTTAATTGCTAATTGTTAAATCTGGAAAAATAATGACACAAACTACTATGTCCATGTGTCTGATTCTGGATATCTTTGTATGTTTAATTTTTTATTATGTAAATTATGTGGTAGTTTTAGTGTTAATGTGTTATGTCACACTCACACAAACTGAAAAGTGAAAACTGGTACCCATCTTTGTAGATGGAAAGTGCCACTCAAATGACTCAATCTGGACTTCCACCCTCAACTGAGGAGGGGCCTGGAGGAGTAACCCAAGGCACTGAGACAAATGCTCCTCAGCAGCCTGAGGTTAATCCTGCTGTTCCTGCACAGAAGAGGAAGAATGTAGAGTCTAGATCTAAGGTCTGGGAACATTTTGAAAAGATATATGATTCTGAAAACAAAGTAGTAAAGGGGAAATGTATATATTGTGCTAAAGTCTATCACTGTGAGAGTAAAAAGCATGGTACTACCTCTTTAAGAAATCATATGTTGGCTTGTCTAAAAAATCCACATTCTAAGGAGACTAGCCAGTCACTGCTTACTTTCACTGCTGTGACAACATTTGATACTCAAGGGGGTGGGGGTTCTGAAGGGGTTGTTGGGGAGTTAGAGACTTGGGTTTTCAATCAGGAAGCCATTAGGAGGGCATTATGTGAGATGATAATTATTGATGAGCTTCCATTTAGGTTTGTGGAGGGGCAAGGTTTTAAAAGGTTTATTTTGGTTGCTTGCCCTAGATTTTGTATACCTTCTAGGTGGACAATTTCAAGGGACATTTACCAAATTTACCTTGATGAAAGATTAAACCTCAAGAAGCTGTTTAGATTTAACACTCAAAGGGTCAGTTTGACAACTGATACCTGGACCTCTGTGCAGAGGATCAATTATATGTGCATTACAGCCCATTTCATAGATGATCAGTGGAAGCTGAATAAGAAAATCATATCCTTTGTCCCTATTTCTTCTCACAAGGGTGAGCATATAGCCAATGCATTAGAGAGTTGTTTGATTAACTGGGGGATTAGGGATGTTTTTTCTGTCACTGTTGATAATGCTTCTTCCAATGATACTGCTATGAGTTTTTTTAAGTCCAAATTGTTGTCATGCATGGGGTGCAACCACTGTTAGGAGTAAGTACATACACATGAGGTGCATAGCCCACATTTTAAACTTGGTGGTCCAGGATGGGTTAAGGTTTGCAGATAGTTCTGTTAAGAAGGTGAGGGATTCTGTTAGATGGATGAGGAACTCACCTGCAAGACTCAAAAAATTCAGAGATCTTGCAGAACTGCTTGGGGTGGAAGCCAAAAGTTCTTTACAACTAGATGTTCCAACAAGATGGAACAACACCTACATGATGCTTAGCACTGCCATACAATACAAGGCTGTGTTTGATGCATATTCATTGAATGAGCCCTCATTTGTTGCTGATCTGGGTGATTCTGTCCCTTCTTTTCTTGACTGGACTTCTGTTGAATGCTTGGTAGTTCTGTTGAAAGGGTTTTATGAGATGACAATTAGAATCTCTGGTTCTCTATATGTCACCTCTAACAGTTTCTTCAGTGAGATATCTGATTTGAGTTGCATGTTGAGTAGCATGATTGTTGCTGGTAGTGTTACAGAGGTAATGATTTTATATTTTTATCATTTTCAGTGGTTAATCTGATTATTTATGAATTTGTGAATGGCTGTTTGTATTTAATTCAATGTTTTCTTAGGTTATGGGATCCCAAATGAAAAGTAAATTTGAAAAAATGAATTCCTTGATCTTCTTTGCAAATATCTTGGACCCAAGAGATAAGTTGGAATATATGCCATACCAGTTTGATGAACTGTATGGTAAAGAGAATGGGAAGAAGTGTTTAGAGAATGTCCAAGCTGCCATGGTAGAATTGTTTGGTGACTATGCAGCAACCTACTCTGTCAATGTGCAACAATCATCTTCTGATTCATCTTCTGGTAGCCAACCAGATGTGCCTCCTATCCAGTCTCATGCCACAATTGGTAGACCTCAAAATATGTTAAAGAACAAACTAAAAAGGCAAAAATTGGAGGCTAGTGGAAGCTATAAAGAAACAGAACTTCAAGTTTATTTAAGTGAAAAAATTGTGGAGGACACTCCTGACTTTGATATCCTTAGGTGGTGGAAGCTAAATAGTGAGAGGTTTCCTACTCTCTTCAAAATGGCAAGGGATATCCTAGCAGTTCCTATTTCCACTGTTGCCTCAGAAAGTACATTTAGTACTAGTGGGAGGGTTTTAGATGCATTTAGGAGTTCTTTAACTCCTAAAATTGTGGAGGCCTTAGTATGTGCACAAGACTG